CCCGGTATTGTGCTCTGGGAAGAAAACTGGGGCTTTGTTTCCCTGGAAACGGAGCTGCAGAAGCAGAGCACAGTGGGTGTCGCACACAAAGCCTGCAGTGAGCCCCGCGCTCACCGCGGCAACCGGCTCCCGCGCCCCGGCATTCCCGGGTCTGCCGCCAGCGCCGGGACAAGGAGCTCTCACAGCTCCAGCTCGACCCTATCCCACCATCCCGAGGGAGCAGGAGCCTTGGGCACGGGGTGGGGAATGTGGGGCTTGGAAACCTTGATGCCCTGAAACTGTCCTCCTGGGAACAGTTTTGTCCCTGCAATGAGCAGGTGGATGGAGGCCAGGAGATCTGCATGGTGCTGTTTGGATGAGGTGTGCTTACCCCATCGGCTCCCCAGGGACTGCTGGGGATGGTGGTCCCACCTCCCCACCCCAGCCTGGCAGCACCATGACAGCAGCACCTTGGTCCTGCACAGTGCAGAGGAGGAACCAGCTGGGGAACACCTCAGCCCAGCTCTGAGACCTGAGTCCTACCAACCACCCCAAGCCCAGTGCTTTGGAGGGGATGTCCCATGGGCTGGCCTGGCACCAGCTGGCCCAGCATCACCTCAGAGGGAGGGGGCAGAAGGACTTTCCCCATCATCCTTAGGTGCTGCCTGACCTGGCACGGCTGCTGTCCTGCTCTCCTGCTCCCCCAGCTGCCCATGTCCCGTCCCCCCCAGAGCCCTGAGGAAGAGCCACCCCAGCCCAGGTGCTGGCTCCCTGGGCTCAAGGGTACTGGACAGCTGGTGCCACATGCTTTAGGTTAAAGGTTTATTGAGCTCATAAAGGGCACTGCTGGGATCTGATGGGACAGTCACTGGGACCTTCTCCTACTGTGGAGGGTTGTTGGCAGGAGGATACGGGACAGGACGAGAGCAGTTTATGTTTGCTATATCCTCTGCAAGCCACCATGGAAACCTCCGAAAGTTCAGATGGGACCTTTCTGGCACAACTCCATCTCCAGAGCAGCAACCCCTCTGAGCTTGGCCAGGCGGCCAGGACAGGAGGGTGCTGATGGCCTTGCTGGCCTTTGGGCAGAGGCAAGGAGGCTGCTAAAGTAAGCATGAGATCTGGGGTTCCAAGCCCCACTTGACCAACATGGGGTTTGAAGCCCATGGCGCAACCCCCTGAGCTGTCTCTTCTGCTTGCTCCACGTCCAGACACGAGCACTAAAGGCGAAACAATGTTTGGTCTTGGGAGGAGGGATGGATCGATCTCTACAGCTCCCTGGTGGCACTTAGCAAGGTGTGCCAAGGGCCAGGAGGGGTGGGGGGGACTCCCGGGGCTTGTCGAAGAAGATGGAGGAGGACATCTCTGTTTTGAGCTTGCTGTCGGCGCTGCCCTCGCTGGAGGCAGTGTCGGGGCCGCAGCCCTCGCAGCAGCAGCAGCAGCAGTCCATGAAGGCCTGGCCCAGGGGTCTGCAGAGGCACAAGAGCAGGATGGGAGTCACCGAGCACTTGAAGAAGAGGAAGAACTGGTTGACGAGGTTGAGCAGGTCCAAGGTCTGCTTGGATATGTCAGGGGACATGTAGGCCACCACGATGTTGCAGACATTCTCGGGAGTGGTGCCGAGCCCGTAGATGATGGTCAGCCCAATGATGGTGCAGTTCAAGTGACTCTCACACTGGCTGTGCTTGGTCCCTCGGCACTCAGTCTTCTTCTCAGTGCCACTGATCCTGCGGGTCACCAGCTGGCAGCTCACGGTGAAGAGGATGGGCAAGCAGAAGTAGCAACCGAAGTACCACCACATCCGAGCATTTTGGTAGGTGAGCACCAGTGAGTAGACAGACTCGGGCAGGTTGGACGAGGGCTTCATGGTGCAATACTCTGTCACCATGCCAGACACAGGTGATGTGTCCTGTGCCAGCTGCCAGAG